ACCGGCCTAACTCTCATATGAGCTAATTAATAATCACACTATCATACTTTCAGAAATTTATCACTGGTAAGAGATATATCAAACTTTTTAAAACGCAAGGTATCTATAGGAAATCTCAAACCACACTACCTTTTTTTTATATTAACTACCAGAAATAATTTAATCACCAACAGACATTAATAGTGAAAGGGTTTCAGCCACTTAAACAAGAACTCCAGAATTCAAATCTGTGTGAACGCAACGCAGAAAATTTCTTGGAAAAAATTACCTTCGTTTTAACTTGTAATATTCAAATCTGACTTACTAAAAAACTCATACTAAAAAAAAAAATTCCTCACATGACCACTGCATTGAGTTTCGTTATATCAAAATTCTTCATTTTCTTCCGCGAGGAAAAGATGTCTTCCGGATTTCTTCTTCTTTTTGTTTTTTCTTCGGTTTTTTTCCCCCCAGGGCATTTGCATCTTCCGGGCTTCAAATAGCCAAACTTCATATAGAGGGAGTCGTTGACGCCCTAGATTGGCAGACAACAGTAAAAAATTCAAAATATAATCACGGAAACTAAAAGGTTGTTGTGTGCCCAATTAATGATCCATTTGCTACCACAATTCTAAACAGACACGGATATATTCTCCTCCGCATTTTAATTTCTTTTCTTGCCAAAACTGGACAACGACTTTCATTTAACTGGTTTATAAAGCACATCTGATCCGGATATATACTGGTTGAATAATTAGTTTTTGATGTTCAACTTTTTTATTTTGTTTTTTTTTTTCCTGCCTTTCTGCTTCTACAAAATACCTCTTGATCTCCCTAGCTATTCCTAAGAACCGCCATCGATCCCATGCCAATCAAGTAACATTCAAAGCTCTAGAAATTAAGGCGATTTTTCTTTTCAAGGTTTAACAGTCCAGAAAAATGAACTGCGTATCTGCTTGCCGCAAAATGATATATAGGAGAGTTCATATAAGTAGAAAAGATTAGGAAGATGTATGATACTACCTCCAATCTTTAATATAAGAACTAGATAAAATTACCTAAATTAGTTATTTGTAACAAATGTTTGTTGACCTTTTTAAATTATTAATATTCAATCATTTACATTGAAACTATACCTAGGTGAAAATACTTTACAATTAATAGAGATAGCTTTGAGAATATATTATAAATTTGAGATATTGGAATCTTATACTTAGAACCGTTTAACTAATTTTTATATTTAGGACAAGACGCAATAATAAATAATAAGTAGTGGAAGCAACATATAAAAGGATTTTTGCGAGTTTTGGGAACAGTTGACATATAGGTGAAGCAACGGAATATATACGTCTGAGGAAATTAAGTTGATAGACGCGGGCGGGAAGAGATGGGGAAAAGATGGCGTAGAAGAAAGAATTGCCGACCACAACATTGGAAACAGAAATGATAATTGGAACTACTCTTTTTGTTTTGTGGGTTAACGGATTAGATTGCTCTATAATTTCATATTATGTAGGGAACGTCACACGGAAACCTTTGGCCCCACCATTCCCCTTCCTCTCTTTCTGCGTCTTTTTATAACCTCCACAAGTATACTTATACGCCCGTCATTTTTACTTTTGATAATAGATTGGAGTTTGCTTTTCTTTAGTGTTTTTGCTTCCATCTTAATCTCATATTGAAAGTACTTTAATTTGCATGGAAAGAAGAACAAAAGTAGGCCATTAATGTTCATTTGTTTTTCTCCAAAGAGGGACGGAGCATATCGGAAACTCAAAGTAATGGGAGATGAAAATCGTTGTGACCATACAAGTGGAAGTGGTCGTTACGAAAAGGAAAGGAGAAAGATATATGGGTGGGTTGAATTCGTGCATGATACTGTGAGCCAGAAAATTCAATTAAAAAGATCGAAGTGAAAAGTTGGATCATGTGTTTATATTATGGTCCTGTATATGAAAGATTCGATGGATCGAGTGAACCGCAATCACATACAAGGAAATTAAATCTTGCACCGCCTAACTAAAGGAATGGAGAGATGTATACGATTCTCAGCGTCCAGAGAGAGATTCAGAAGCTATCAGAAGACTCGTATATTTGATCATCAGGCTTAATTGTAAGCAAATCAAAACAGTGATTGATTTATGGGGTTCTTTGGTTCAATTGAAATGAGTCAGATAGTTTTTAATTCGTACCGATTGGCGTGGCAAGCCATATATAGGAGAAAGGAATAAAAAACTCGAACGCAAGTTTTTCTTTTTCGCCAGAATAAACTCAAGTTGACAAATAATGGTGGAGTTTGGTAACGCCTGGGGCTTCTCCTCTATTCTCTAATCTCCCTTTTAGTACTCCAATCTCCTAATTATTTTGATGGGAAAAGAACCTTTCTAATTACTTTTTTAATCATCATATCACATATAACATAAAAAGATATAGCATGATGAAATGGTATAGTTCTATTTTTTTTTCACAAATTTTGAGAAAAAATTAAAAAAATTGTGCAGTTTTAATCTTTTTGAGAAATCATAAAAACAAATCTACACCATTTTATCATCATAAATATCTAAATATTTCTTATTTAATATAAAATTCAAATTAAAAATTGGAGATCGTTAATGAAAAAATAATTAAATTAAAGAACATAAAAGGTAATTAAATAGTGGTGACTTTTTTTTTTGACAAGACCAATATTGTTTTCCAGCAACTACAGAAATTAATGATTCTCTTTATTTTCTCTGTACACTTAATGGTCCTCTTTAATTAAGTTTGCTCCATACATAAATACTAATGATGAACCATCCATTTTTTATTCAACAGTAGAGATGGAATTCTAAGAAGAAAAGAGAAAGAGGGATTGTTAGAGGATCTTCTTCCAAGATTAAGATTCAAGCACTCTAGTATATTTAATTTGTTTAAGGAATGATAATTTTTACTGTTCACACCAATCTAAGTTGATAATTAGCTTGTTTTTCTACAGACTTAAAATAGCATACTTATTACACTATGACTAATTTTTTATTTGGTCAATAATAAAAGACAAGTCTAGCAGACGCTGTGGGTGATGATGATTTGTTCACCGAAATTGCTTTAAAATAAATTAGAATATTAACACAGGGCGTAGAGAGCTACTTTTAATTCAGTCAAATTGACCAAAAAGCTTTGCATATGAAAAGTGAACATGTATTTAACGAACAGGGGCAGCATATATAACAATGGCATGTCGTGCCAAAAGAGCAAGAAGAATTAATAAAACTGATGAGTTATCAAAATTGCTTACGGCCGAAGAAACGACATGAATGGAGGATGATAAGTTTCAGCTTCATCACTTGCCTTTGTCCTTTGCTCACTCACGCACACCCAATAAGGGTCCGAATCTGAGTGTGACTCTCGCCACTCACAAAAAGAATGTTATTTTCTCTCCACCACATCAGGGGGCTCTGCACCGCAAAAGAGGGAGGCTTAACAGCAAAAAGCTAAGCAAAGCAAAAATAGACAAAAGACACGAGCTAACAAATTGAACGCCCTCAATTTGAAGTATTATATATATATATATATATATATAATAATTGAGGCAATTCTAAAGTTAAAGGGCAACTACGAGGATAGAGGGTCTATAGAGTCACTTAAAGGGAAGGAAAAAAAAAGGGGATCTTGATGATACAGCATTAATTAGGATAAACTTCTCATTCCATTCGGAGCATTCGACGTCATTATTGTTGGTGCTGTGCAAAAAAGAAGGATATAATCTCCCTGCAACTTTAAGCTCTGAATTTACCCGTGTTAGGTATGTATACAAAAAGTAAAGCCATTATTCCATTATGCTGAAGACAAGAACTGGCTAATTACATGATACACGCACACGCACCGCTTTAATCATGTTGCAAACTTTTCTCCCTTCTATTCATGTGTTTCTTTCTGAATTATACTGTCCGTCTTTTCACTAATTATTCCGCTCGCAGCGTCCTCTGCACATCGTTGTATTGTTAAAATCCATTATACGTCGTATTACCGTTCCGATCAAGAACTAGCTTGGTGGAGAATGTGTGTGAAGTTGAACAAAATATCATCTGTGTGTTTTTTAATTCTGCGTGCACTTGATAATTAAGTTTATGTATGTTAGCCGCTTTTGTGGCTCCTTTTCAAAGGATAATTCAGTCATGAAAAAACTGTTTGAGACTACATTCGATCAAACTTTTCAGGGACAGGCTAAATCAGAATCATAAATTTTCAAAGACTACTCAAGTTTTTTTGGATTATTGTGAATGTGGCAATACTTACATATGATTCTATAAATGATCATATATAGACAGACCACGACCATCATCATAATCATTATTATTAATTTGCTGCGAGTTCAAACGTCTAAATCTCATAAAACGCATATATACGGTCCTTATAGATACTGTTGGGTGACAGGAAGAACTAAGCTATGTACAGAGTTCATCAGTTGGAGCCAACAACTTCCTTATTGCTAGGTAACACCAAGCGATATCAATCATGTACATATATATGTTTCCACCTCGAACGTTTTCCAGAGGGTTTTGGGCTTACAAGATTTCTTTCTTTCTTTTTCTGCCCCCATTTTGCACGTTTAATTAATTAATTAATCAATAAATATAGAATAAAAGTAGCCATATATAAATGAAGCATGCCGTGCATGTGTCAGGCCCATGGATAAGCTAAAATTGCCTGATTACGTGAGGTGATCCCACCCTTACCAGTATAGAATAGACAGTGATATTTAACTTTTTCTGCATACGGTGCCGTCATAGTCTTTTCTCTCCATGCAGCATGGGAGCCACTATCCTCTTTGATGAAAACATATATTTACTGTTACTGACCACCCCATCAATAAAGAAGGCTTATAGGTTAAGAAACTTCCTCCACTTAAAACCCTAAAAAAATATAATAGAACAAAAAGAGATGGGGAATATAAGAGAGAATAATAACATAAGAGCAAATTAAAGTAAACAAAAGCAAAGCACTCTCTCTCCCCTCCCCCCGCTTTAATTTCTAGCTCTCTCCCTCCCTCTCCTCCCTCTCTTTAATTCTCCTTTTCTCTTTCCTTCTTTCTTTGCTCTGGTATTCCCTCAGTTTGATTCTCCACCATCTCTAAAGACCCATCAAACTTTAGAAAAAGAAAAACCATAAAAAGATCATCGCACCGCACCATGGTTTTCTCTTCTATTCCGGTCTATTTAGATCCTCCCAATTGGCAGCCGGTAAGGTTTTCCTATTTCCTCTAATTTCAGCCACATCCTCCGAACCCTAAAAAGCTAATTTATTTCCCAAAGATTATTATTCCTATTCCTTGTAATATCTTCTTGAATATACCAGATTTTGTGTTTTCATATCATACTACTTCATCGTGAATCTTTCTTTTCTGATTTTTCTGGGTTTGAGGTTTTCTCTGTTTTGCAGCAACAAAATCATCAGCAATCAAATGGAACTGAAAGCGCTCAGCTGCTTCCTCATGCTGGAGGTTGCGGTGCAGGTTCAGTCCGGCCTGGTTCGATGGCTGACCGGGCCCGGCTAGCGAAGCTACCGCCTCCCGAGCCAGCCCTAAAGTGTCCCCGTTGCGATTCCACCAACACAAAATTTTGTTACTTCAACAATTACAGCCTGTCCCAACCTCGTCACTTCTGCAAGACATGTCGGCGATACTGGACAAGAGGCGGCGCTCTCAGGAACGTTCCGGTCGGAGGCGGATGCAGAAGAAACAAGAAGAGCAAGAGGAGCCGCTCCAAGTCGCCGGCAGCTGCACCCACCACCGCTGACAACAAGCAGACTCTTCTCCCCAACGCCGCCACCACCACCGAGCTGATCGGTCAGTTGCAGCAACCTTCCAACTTGCCACTCATGGCTTCTTTACAAAATATGGGCGGCCGTTACGGCTTAGGGAACATGGGCCTGAGCTTGCGCGATATTTTAGCCCAGACTGAGCCCATAGGCTTTCAAATGGGAGGAGGGGACAACCAGTGGCGCTCACTGCAATTCCCTAATTGCTTGAATGGGTTCGAGTCAGATAATTCAGTTGATCCTTCTTACCAGTTTCAAAGTGAGGGCATGGCAGTAGTACAGAATGGACTGACTGGAGATTCAAGTTCTAGGGTTACAACTCAGCTGCCGCCTATTAAATTGGATGGTAATGGAGCCCTAAATTTGTCAAGACCGCCCATAGGTAATAATAATGGTAATAATCAGTACTATTCATGGACTGATTTATCGGGACTTCCATCTTCTTCCACTAGCCACCTCTTGTAAGTTAACATCTTGACCATTACGTTATGGTCAAAAACAAAAACCGTCACAATATTGAAGCACTCGATCCCAGTTCTAAATTAGTATTCAGAAATGTGTCGCAGACAATGGTAGAATTTGGATCTTCTTCTTGGTGTTGTCCTTGTTTAAATTTTATGTTGCCGCCTGTAACTGATATTTCTTAAGGTTTTGCATGGAAGTCTCTCTTGTACTATATGGGTTGGTTTGTATAACTGAGTTCGTGTAATGGTGTATCTGCTATGGGATTTTTCTATGATCAGATCTCGTGTTTTCTCTATATATGTCCTGTTCCTCCAAGCTAGGTTGCACTATAGAGCACCAGTTTCCGCCTGCATATGAGCACGATCGATAAAGCACAAAGAAAAGTGAAACATTACTGAATAACGTGCCACTACTCCACGTTAGCTTTTGTTGAGGCTGTGTTTTCTTTAGTTAGAATTCCAAATTGAACACCTCTTTTCCTCTTTCGCTGCCTCTTGACAAGCTTATTACATCTTAGGAAAAACACTCTTATTGCAAAGCCAACATTGGCTTGGTTCGAATATAAATTTTCTCTGTCATGATGATGAAGCATACATATAGTTTTCGTGGATTAAACAAAGTGCTAAGTCTTTCCTATCGGAAATTTTTAATATATGTTAGACTTGAGAAACATTAAAAGAAAGGGCATAATGTTATTCTTTTCACGTTCTAATGATCAGAGGCATTAGAAAAGTTAGCATCTATGTATAGGTATGGTAATTATAAGGCAAATGACTTCATTACACCTACTTCAGACGTCATCGCCTCTACATCCTATCCCTTGCTCGATCAAAAAAACTATTTAGCTCTCTGAGATATGGGTAGTTCAGTCAGGCTTTGGCCGAAGCTGTCATAATAACAGAAGTAGCAATTTCTGCAATCTGATAGAGGAGTACTCTTCCATGCATGGTAGTGGAATTCTCGGAAACATGAGTAGCAAATTTTGAACTCCTAGGAAGCGGGTAGCTTCGTACTTTTTTTATCAGTCAAGAGTCGTTATGATGTAATAATCAGGGATGGATCCATGAAATAATATGACGTACGCGGTCGTTGGATTTACTCGAGGTTGAAAGCTGAGGCACAGTATGTGTGAGGAGAAGACGCCAAAATCCCACTCAAAACCATGCAATTCCATATTCTACCAAACCGAAGTAAGGAGTATTCTAGAACTTCTTTCACCGCAATGATGAAAGATTCTAACAATATATTAATCATGAAATTCCTTTTGGGTTTATATATGCATTTCAAATTTCAAAAGTACGTAAAAGGAAAAGGGGTTACGGTCAAAAATAAGTGTGAGAGACTGAGCTTTCCAACAAAAGTACTGTGCTATGATAGTGATAATATATGGCATTCAAATTAAGAGGGATCAAGAACAGATCTTTGTATACTAATAATGACAGCCTTTATTGCAATGTCACCGGAAATTAATGAAAGAACTTGGAAAAGTTAAGGCATCAATATGAGAGAGAGACTGAGGGTATAGTAGTAGCTTTTGAGAGGACCAATGCTCGCGGGGTGTGAAGAACGAATAAAGCGAAAAAACGAAGACAGACAAAAGCAACATATCTCTGGGGATGTCTGTGAAATGGGACGAAGGCAATAAATGGGAAACCTGATTGCGAAAATGTCGGTGAATGAAGGTGTCGAGGAAGAAATGCTGCAGCGAGACAGAGTTAAAGGAAAAGGAAGCAAAGAAACAGAATGGTGTGGGCTAAACTTGCAGGGTTTCTGCAATTATGGCGTACGATCCTCTGAAGGGTTCGGAAACTCATGCACGCTTCATCTGCTCTTTCTCTTTCACTGCCGTTTCCTTTCTCTCTCCTCTCCTTCTCCTTACAGTTTATTTATCATACTGTAGTATTTCGATCTCAATTTAATATTTCAAAAAAAACTTTTAAGATGTGAAAATTTGGAAAGCAAAAAAAATAAATTAAAATGATTAAAACTTGGTCTGAATTATTCGAAATTATGACAATAGAAAACATGAGGAGAGACGTAGTGAATATATGGCCAGTGCTTTTTATGTAATACCCAATTCTCTTTTTAAATCCTGCGGCAAAAGGGACCCATGCAATATTTTTTGTCTTTGGATGATTGATTAATTGGCAGCGTGGAACCGTCCGTTATACAGTAATCACAAAATAAGCCCGCGATTCCGACTCTCAAGTTAGCTCCATAAACAGGATTAAATGGAAACCTGAAATCCCAAGATTGCATATATTCGATGCCCCAAAATAATACATATGAATATCCAGAAAGGAATCTACTTGCCCTTCGTTTTTACATTATTTCTATGTGGTTTTCTCCTGCGTCTAACTCTCTGTCTTACTTTTTTCTTTTTTGGAGCACCTTTCCAGTTATATCAGTGATGGAGGCTGTGGCGACACTCTGTAACCAAATATTGTATTTTGCACGCAGATATGCCCTCACAGTAAAACGGATGCTCGCATTGTTGGAATCCTATATATTCTCAGTAGGTTGTCTATATGAGGGAAGGGATGCCGTTTCTCTGTTAGGAGTGTTATCTTTTGATCTTTTCCCTTCTTATTAACCTTTATAGAAAGAAGTGTCCTTATTTTTAGTTACTGTTTCACTGTGACTTGAACAAGACTGTTTTCTAACAACAAGAGGATACCGGTGCATAATAAAGAATAAAAAAAAAAACACAGTTCCCTAGACGGTAGGAGATGAGAACTAGCTAGGTATCTAAAAGTTTTAATCCTTTAGCACATTTTAAATCTACAAAACCAATTCAACCAACAAAGCCAGGTCCAGTTGGTAAGGAGTCGCCTCATAATCCACAAGGTCATGAGTTCAAATCTCGCTGCTGATGTGAGAATCTTGTTGGTAGACGATCTGTAAATACCTCTATAAGCGTTCTCTGAACCTGGAGACATATATATCCTAGTCCTAATGAGTCTCGGGACCCAACTCACCTAAACTTTTTTTACCAAAAAAAAAATTAACAAAACCAATTCAGATCTATAATGAACACATGCAGCTGCAAAAAGAAATTGAATTTGCAAAATCAACATAATCGTATATCCAAGTAGAAAAGCATATATAGAATATCGATCACAAAGGAGAAGGGAAAAAGATAGACTTGGAAGAAAGCACAGACGGTCATCCACAATGTGTTCCCCATACACACACACACACTGTCACTGCCGATTAAAGATGGTGGCAAGAGTATGTCGTCGACATTGAGAGCAAACCGTTGCCGATGAGGTTTGCTATATATCGCCTTAAGGGTATGTTTGGCTCAATGAGAGGAAGGGGAGGGGAGGGATTTTAATGGAGGGAAGGGGAGGGGAGGGGAGTGGAAGGATTTTAATATTATCTTGTTTGGATTTATAAAAAAAGAGGGGAGGGGAGGGAAAAATATTTAATATGAACAATTTTGCTCTTATTTTATTTAAGGTATGGGCATAATTGTCACAACATGACAAAATATAGACATAATGGTTATAACATGACAAAATATAGGCATAATAGTCATAATATGACAAAATATTGCCTTTTCCCTCCAAATCCTCCCAATTTTGGAGGGGAGGTTGAGGAGGGGAGGGGAGGGGAAATTTTAAAAAATTTTCCCTTCCCTCCTAAAATTTGTGTGTTGCCAAACAAGGGGAAATGATTAAAATCCCTCCCCTTCCCTCCCCTCCCTCCCAAATCCCTCCCCTTCCCTCCCCTCCCTCCCAAATCCCTCATACCAAACACACCCTGAAAGTTAAAACATTACTGGTGATCGCTGAGAGGTTGAAGACGTACGATTGGTTGCCAGAGGAACGACGATACTAATACTTGTGTCCAGGCGAGAAAGTTAGGGACTCCCAAGTAATTAATTAGTGAGAAGGAAGTGTGTGAGAGGGGTAATCTGCAGCAACATTAGATATACTTTATCTCATTCTATTAAAATGTATGTATGTAACTAATCAACATGGTAACTCAGCCGGCTGGTGGTAGGGGACTACGCTAGCTTAATCAAAGGTCTCGTATATGCTGAATTTTGGCTTAATAATGTTATTCTTAAGAAGTGATTTTCTAATGGAAAAGATTCAGAATATATACTTTTGTCTGATTAATTATAACATAAGATCTCTTCTGTTAAGAGGCAGTATTAAAAGTGAACTTTTTAACACAGGTTTATTTAGAGGCATCTGCCATCTTGTGAAGTTTACTAAAGACTGATTGTACTGGGTGATTTCGAATTTACTGGAAAAGTGACAATTAAAGTCAATATGGTGATAATCCTCGATTACCAATTTGATTTCTACAACCAATTTTTAATGCCTTGAATGCAAAAATAATTTCATAAATAATAGTAGGATAGACAAATAAGATCTGCAAATTATATCAACTAGTTAACCGAAAGAAAAACACCGCTAGAAATTCACCATATATATCAATTTTACACGTTCGCCCGCGAGTCTAAGTTCTGACACTTGATTACCAATTTGTATTTTAAATTATCAAGCATGAATTTCGACATTATTTTCCGTTCTCCTTCTACATTTGACATTTAAAAATTTCAAAGACTTCAAATTCTCTATTATTCATTTAGGATGAGAACCAGAGACGCTGGGCAGACTCGACACAGCCGGGACACTTTTTTTTTCTTTTTGAAAAGTGTAGTTGAATAACGAGTTTATACTAAAAAGTAAAAACTTTACAAATATGCAACTAAACAATTTAATATCATCGACTACTTTTTAACCGCTGTAACATGTGGACTAGAGCACTTCAAAATGGAGGAATGGTGATTATAATACGAGTATTTAAATGTTGGGAATATGTCAGGAAACACATGTTTCAAAAGGCCGCCACAGTTGATGGCACACTGCAAGTAGTTGAACTGAGGTCCAATCACACAGAGAAAGTAAAGGAGGACCGAGCACACTGCAACGGATGGGTAGGTGGGCATGGCACCTACAATGGATCATGCATTCAAGAAAGCCCTTCCATTGAGGAGAACGGGTTTATTTTTTTATTTTTTAATTTTAAAAATAAATATTTTAATGAATATCAAATTTAAAATAGAAATAATTTGTTAACTGCTTGATTATCACTTTTTTTAAAAATAGTTAATTAAAATGTTGCTCATCGCTGCTGATGAGTGCTCAAAACCTATAAACCTCCTGTCGTTTTGTTTAATTAAAAATTTATATTTCACGAGCTGATGATCACAAATTCAAGATGAAACCACGAATTAAGTTGAAACAACAATTCTAGTTGGGAAATTTACTGTGCAACTCAGCAACGACTATCTTGTACCCCGCCGGGGGGGGGGGGGACGACGATCACCTCATCAACTAAAGTAGGAATTAAGGATTTGCTTCTTCAAGAGTGGCAAATTCGAATTGAACATATTTTTAGGGAAGGGAAGGGAATCGATGCGCAGATAAAATAGCCCCTCTCTGCTCACGCCAAACTGAGCAACACATGATTTGGATGACACCTCCGCGAGCTGTGCAAGAGATCCTAGAGGAGCACTCGGTTGGAATAGGAGTTTCCAGGAAGTGTTTCTAATTTCTAGTTGTTCGGCTTAGCCCGTCTTGTATCACCGAAAGGGGGAAAAAAAAAAGTTCAATCTACGTGGCTGGATTTGTGGGTATTATGACCATCGCTTGGCTGGCTATTTATGTTACGCCAAAAAAAAAGTTGCACTTTTTGTTCATTAATTAATTTCGATTGTATTCCTCCATTAAATTATGAAATGTTAAGTACTTTTCAATAAGAAGCACTACATTAAGTTATTCATTAGAAAAGAGTGCTCACCCGATAAAACAAAACATGTAAATTCTGTCATATTCCTCATTGCAGTTAATAACTACGTCGCGAAATACACTCCCTCAGTCTCCAGGTATGAGAAATAAATAATGAGTCTTTTCAATACGAGGGAAAAATTAGTTTGGTTGGTTAAATGCTTTAAATATGTCCTTTTTTTAATAAAAAAAAAGGATGCCCCGAGTAAAGTCATTAAGTGGAATCACACTTTAACCAATCCATGATACTTAAAATGAAAGGTAAAACAAGAAAGGCGCACTTTTTTTTTCTCGATTGTAACGTGTAACGTGTTCATTAATTAATTTCGATTGTATTCCTCCATTAATTACATCACTAAATTTCTCCAATTCTGTTAAATTTTGGGACAAAATACGAGTCCGACATCTCTCTATAAAAAATGATTGGGGGAATATATATCATGCTTCCGTAAAAGTAAACGAAACATCTCTTCATTAAAATTTGAGGATGATTGCGGTAATACACGTTACAATTATACATTTCCACGTAAGATGCATCCCGCCTTTTTCTTTCGGTTCTCTCCCCCATTTCAATGTCTTTGTATTATATCCCTGTATCCCCACACAAACAAATGAACAACTCAACGGAGTAGGCAGGTGATCTTCCACCCTTCCCCAAAAGAAGGCCTCTTTCCTTCCTTTTTTTTTTTTACCATCGAAGAAGGCCTCTCTCAATACTTAAAATAAAAGGAAAGAAACAAAGTGAACAAAGACGTCAACTATCAATGAGATTAGTACCAGAAGGGGGCTGTATATCCTGATTCTGAACTTGCACTTCAGTCTGTGTTTGAACTTCCTGCTGCTGCAGCTGCTGCTGCTGCTCAAGGAATCTGCTCATTCGCTCGAGCAATTGTGCAGCCTTTCTTTTACCCCTGTCTGTACCATTTTGAGCCAGATCCACCAATGGAGCCATCACCCCGAGATCTTGAGCTTGCGCTAGATATTGCTGATCGCCGGAACAAAGGTGTACCAAAACGGCAGCTGCGTTTTCTTTGTTTCTTGGGGATCCATTTCCAATGACTCCTACCAAAACTGGTACAGCCTCCGCAGCACCAATCGCAACCTTCCCTTCCGGATGACTAGCCAATATTGCCAATATGGCCAATGCTTCATCAACCATTCCCCCACCGGGTTCTGTCAGCAGTCGCATTAGTGTAGGAACCACACCTGCCCTCACTGCTTTTCCCTTGTTACCTTGGTATATGCACAAGTTGAAGAGTGCCGTTGCAGCATCTTTTTTACCCCTTTGGGTACCCTCGCTCAGCAGTGTCACTAGCGGTGGGATGGCTCCTGATGATCCGATAGTAACCTTATTTTCATCAACGACTGAGAGGCTGAAAAGCGTGGCTGCTGCATTTTCCCGAGCTTCCATGCTGCCCTTCCTGAGCACATGAACTATGCCAGGAACTGCCCCAGAAGATATGATACTTCCTTTGTTATTCTCACAAATGGAAAGATTTAAAAGAGCTGTTACGGCATGCTCTTGAGTTCGGGAGTCGGGTATAGAGAGAAGGTCTACAAGGAGCGGTATTGCACCAGCTTCAGCAATGGCCACACGGTTATCTGCATTGCGTTTTGCTAAAAGACGGATCTCACCTGCTGCCGTTCTCTGGTCTTCAGGATTACCAGAAGTAAGCTTTCGAAGAAGATTTTCAATCTTATTACGCTCAGCTGGTGAGCAGGCAGATGCTGACTTACTAGGCCGGGAACTGCTGGGTCGTTTTGGAGGTTCCATGCCATTGGCTTCGCACCATTGTGCTATGAGGCTTCGTAAGACATAATTGGGTGTGAGAACATAGCTAGTAAGTGTTTGCTGTGTTTTTGGACAGGTGCCATGCCCCGCTTCCAACCACTTCTCAATACAAGAACGCTCATAAGTCTGCAGTCAAAAGAACACAATATATTTCAGTGGAAACTTGACACACAAGCATGCTGATTCTGCAGTGGGGTTAAGAATCAACAAGTGTGAACTGGAAACATTTAGCAATACTTATATACATCAGTATCGCATCAGTGAAGGCCTTCAATATTTCAAATTCTTTGAAAGCTCGTGAGATTTATCAATATAAGAGCAGCCGCTCTCCTAATTGAGCAATACTAGAAAGGAATTAGATTCTTAAAGTTTTTGCATAACAGCATGATTCATTTTGCTGCAACTTTACATTCAAGTGGATTAAGTAAAGGTTCTGAACTTTTGATTGGATGCGAAGAAAATGAGGGTGGCTAAGTACACAGTACACACCATCTGAGCTTTCTGTCTGAGAGAGTCTCAGAATGCACGTACCTGTCCTGTCGAAACAATAACAGGATCCTTCATCAATTCTAGGGAAATTGGACATCGGAAATCATCAGGTATAATAGGGGCTTGATGACCCTTTTCACTCATCCCATGGCTGCTGCTGCAAGGAGAAAGACCTTTTCCACCTTCAGTATCATCCATGACTAGATTCTCTGTTTGTACATAATCCTTTATTTTTTTCAATAACATCGACATCTTCTCAATACTTGCCCCCGGATCCCCACCGCTTGCTGCCACCATCTCATGCAAAGCTAGTGACTCTTGTGTGAGATCAGATATTCCCATCAATTGCAATTTTTCAGCCAATCTCCTCAGAACAGCTGCATCTGTTGCTGCATCACTGCTCTTGTCATAAAGTGACAAGATATCCTCGTACAACTCATCATCAGGTGCATCAACCCTTCCTTTGGCTCTTCTAAATTGTGCCAGAACCAGCTCAACCTAGAAACACAACTTTTTTAAGTGAATGAAACAGAGATTTAAAAGAAGACAACATCAAACGCGTAAAACGGGGAAACATTACTTGCTCTTTAACTTCATCTGATATGTCAAGTTTATCATATGAAATTCCACTCAAGGCTTGTTCTAATTGAGCTGTCACCTCGTGGTATTGTTTCATAATTTGCTCCCTCTCCAAGACCTGTAACCAAAATAATAAAGGTCACAAGACTAAGAAGATGGTGGGGACATAACCCAGAGTCATTTTATTTCAGTGACAGGAGGTACTAGCTAGGAGCTTTAGTGAGCAATGCAACATCTAAAGTCATGCAACAGAAAGCGTTTTTTCAAAATTGTCTTCAACCATGCCATGCATATCACCACAACAACAAAAGACTTATCCCACTACAGAGAATAGGCTGCATGGATTGAATGATATTATCGAGCTTTATCAACAACCAACACTTAAAACATACCATCTATCAACAAATTCCATTTGACAACTTCATTGATTATCCTTCTCAGTCTCCCTCTATCTCTCTTCATAGGGCTAAAAACCATCCGTTCAACTTCTTTCACAAATGCCTCTATTGACCCTCTTTGCATATATCTAAACCATCATAAACAATTCTCTGCCATCTTCTCAATAGATGTCACACAAACTTTTCCTCATACACATTTATTATGAACCTTGTCTTTTCTGTACGACCATATATCTATCTTAACACTCACCTTTGCTATCCCAGCTTTTTGCTCTTGTTGTTCATTCAACATCCAACATTCACTACCTTCAACACTCAACATACACATTACTACTATTTAGAAATCAGGAATTAAAATGACATTATTTGGATTTCAAATAGTACAGATACAAGTTAACCTATTCGATTCATCTGGGACCTAAAATAGTTTGATTATTACAAGTAGAAGGCTATCATAATTAAAATTCTTAAGAAGTTCATGTATCTTGCTTCCTAAAGTCTTCCCCAGAATATAACTGATGAATGGAACATGATTCGGTTTTAATGTGCGAAAATGGGGATAGAATATGCTCCTAACTCGAAAGTAAAGGTTGAGAACCAGTGCTAGGCTGGTTTAATATTCAGGCGAAGTCAAAGCTTATGAAAACTAATAGCCACATATAACATTTCCTTACACCCTGATATTATAAAAATGAATTACTGTCAACCTCGCTGATCTGGAACTTTCCCATCCCGCTAGAATCATTGATTGAGAGATCATGAGACTGAAATCTTCAAAATACTTAGGACATAGTGAAAGATCGATACATTTCTTCCTCTTCAAGTTTTCAGCTTCTTTCCAGTCCAAAGGAAGACCCCATAAACTAAATAACATTGGAAGCGGCCTCCTTAACAAACGAAAACGAATATAGGATGCAGAACATGGCAGAACATTCCACATCGAATTGCAACTAATTTCTCGATGGGAGGACAAAAACTGAAATTTGAGGCCTTAGCTATAAACCGTATATAATAATATGATTGGAATTGGAAAAGGAAAATTCAAGAGCAGAAGATTTCTTATGGAAGGTCATATAAATCTGAAAATTGAAAGTTTGCGCCAATTCGTTCAGAAAATTAATTTGCATCCTTTCTACTGATAACCAGCAATAATTAACTGTCTATCATTGAACAATATCATAGTTAAAAAACACTGCTTTGGAAAAGCAAACCAATCCTAATCAATTCAGGGATAGAAAGCAAATCAATTTTCGGCTTCTGTGTTAGCATTATGGATCGCAACACAGGAACAACTGCACAAGAACATCGCTCCTCCCCCACATATGTGAACGAGCAAGAAACTACTTTTTGCTCAATTGACTGGGTTTCGGAATTTTACTGGACAGCCTAAAACAGAATCAGTTCATGGAAGCGTAAAAATTAACATGGCAAGTGAGCTCAAAGTTGCTTTCCCAATAGCTCTTATAAATAGCACCACCAAAAGATCAATATATCCAAAAATCATACCACTTGTGATTGTGATGAAATCGCATGAAACAACAATATACCAATCAAGGAATTAAAAAGGGGAAGAAAAAAACGCAAAGACCATTAAGACAAATCGAACAACACTCACACACCATATAAATCTTGCTGCCTTCGCTCCCGAATCTGAGAAGTTGCTTGGCCGATTCTAAAGCTCCCTTGAAGGAAATCAAAGCTTTCAAAGTCTCTTTGGGTGCCGCCTCTTTGCTGTCCCTAATCTCTTCGAACATTGGAATCAACAACTTCAACCTTCTTGCCAAATTGCAGTACTGCTTCTTGACGGTGCTCCTGTAGTCCGAGATCGCAGCTATCTCATTTATCGAGTCCATCGAGCGCTGCACTGTAGCTGCTTTGTCTTCCTCCATGGCAGTGTCCAGCATCAGATCTCACTATACGGAGAGCTTCAGCTTCACAAAACCAAGTAACCAGCGGCAATGAACAGATAACGCTTACTCTAAATCTCTGGACTTCCTGCTAAAATTCGCGGAAATCGGGATGGCTGGTCATACCCGTTGTCAATGAGAGGGGATTTTCAGAAAGAGCGTTTCAGAGGTGGGACGGGGAGAGAGAGAGAGACTGGAAAATAGCCAATTTGAGAAACACGCGCAAAGACTGGCCTTTTCCCTGCCGTGGCGCGGCTGACGCTGAGTGAGCTAACCAAGGTTGGGTTAGGGAGTAAACCGGAGTTAGCATACGATAAATATCATATGTATGATATAGCTGTGCCTGTGCTGGGCAGAACGCTGACTTGTGAGTTCTGAAATTGCGGTAAAGGCCCTTCGGCTCGGGTGTGGCGGCTTCGGCTAATGCGGCGGCGGGGGGGAGCGTCGGTTAATTCGGTTAAAAACGTTCGTAAAAGAACGGGAATTAATGCGTGTCGACACTGAGAGACTGACCAAGCAGCATTCCGCTGTGCGACTGTCAATTCTTTATCTTTTTATTACCACGGCTGCTGCCATCGAAATCACCCATTGCAGGGCCCTGCCTGTTGATGCCGGGAATCTCTGTGGGGTGCAAAGAAACAAAAAAAAAAAAAAAAACAGCTGAGTTTAGGAGCGTTTGGATAACGCAGAAGTACTTTTTAGAAATTCTCCTATTTTTTTATAAATTAAAATAAATTTTTTAACATATTTACTTCGTATATTGTTAAAATATTTTTAAAATTATAATTTTATTCTTATCCAAACATCCCCTTAATTATTATAGAGAAAAAAGTAATTTCTGATTTGATATTTTATAAATCTAGTTAAATGACTAAAATGTTCTTATATCAAAAAATTTATTAACAAGTTTTAAACTAGCAATAACAAGTGTTGAATAGCAATGACAAGAAATGTATTAATAATAAGAAGTTATTTATTAACAAGTGTGAATTGTCAATAATAAGTATTGAACAATCAATGACAAAAAATATACTGACAATAACAAATTTAATACTGCTTTCAGTCCTATTTATAATATCTCGTTTGTAATTTATAAATAATATTTTATAAAAAGGACATGAGGTAGTAGCTTTTCTTCAAATTTGGTATAAGTACATTTTAGTTATTTAACTATATTTATAAAATATCAAATCGGATATCACTTTTTTTTTTTATCATTTTCAACTCGTAGGTGCCTAAATTGAAAAGTGATAATTTTAGAGTTTTTTTTCCTAAAATTTTTCCTGAGTTTTGTTCTTGAAAAACGATAAATAAACGAGGTAAATAGGTAATTATTTAACACACATATAGAGTAGTAATTTACTTGGCTAATGCTGCAGTGCTTCCGTTTTGCTGTATTGTTCATTTTTCCTCATGTAATCAAGGCTTCCGTTGATATTAGCGGTGCTGAAAAGGTGTTGAGCTTGTGATATTAATGTTAAATTCAGGTCCTTAATTAGAATTTGGACACGTTAGATGACTAGAAATTGATAGTGTGGATATTTTCATTGTGATGGGCAACATTATTTTAAAAGTATATGTGACGGAAATATTACGCTATGGTGACATCATATCATTCATATAATTAATATCAACATATAGTAATTGAGCACATGATTAAAAATAAGAGGGGGGTAGGGGGATGACAAGAGAGAGAGGCTTGGGCGAGATGCGAAGAGTGGACAGGGTAATGATGAAAATGTGGACGGTGAGTGGGAGTTAAGTTGAGGGGGTTACATGTCGCAAGTGGAAAGCAGAGAAGGAGGGGGAGGTAAATTTGTTAACAAGAAGGGATTGTGATATATTATTTCTGATATTTAATATAAGAATTTGTTTGATTTTTATTTTAGTTTTAAATATAAGATTCTAATTTTTATCTATTTGTAGGTGCGTTGCTAGTCATTTTATCAAGAGATGGCATTGGTCGTCACTTTCGTTAATACTTCGATGTGCAGTTTTGAAATCGAAGGTAAATGAAATATACCCCAGACACAGGCCATCATTCACTCCAAGCATCTGAGTGGAGCACTTTCTTAAAAACAGAAAAAAAAAAAAATCAGCTTCAGGAGGAATCTTATCTTTTAAAATAGTTTCGTGCTGATTTGTCGTTGTTTAATTAAATAATGAGGTATATGTGAGGCGCGCGCAGGTCTTGGGTCGCTTGACTAAGGACTTGGATCAATATGAGGGCTTTAATTTAATTAATTGGCAATTTTATTTATTTATTGTGAATCAGTTATCAGTGACGGTGAATGGGCAATTGATTTTGACAACCAGCACATTCGGCTCTCTAGCGTTGCGACAAATTCTACCCAAGCCGCCATTGTATGTTCAGCATCGCCACCGCTCAGTAGAAAGCTTTTCATGATTTATTTTCTTCTACTCTCTTGCATGGTTTCGTCTTTTGATTTTCTGATAGGGTTGAGTGATGAGATGATGCATGCGGGGAGGTACGTTTGTCCTTTTACTGCTATAATTTTTTAGCCTGAAATTAAAAGATAAAATATTTTCACAAAATAACTCTGACCCAGATAACCAAATCATCGCCCCCGCTCTCACACGAGACCTTTGCTTTGCAATTCAGTTTTGGCTTATGAGACCTGCATACGTGGAACAAAACGGGCTCTCGTGAGCTGAATAAAAAACTTGTGAAATACATGTTCCCTGTCTATTGTTAATGCTAACTGATTCATGCTTATCAAATTACTACTTCCGATCCTAATTATAACAGCTAGTTAACTAATTTGAGAAGATTAAGAAAAGAAGTTAAATTAGTTATTTTTAATACACAAGTGTTGTCTTTCTCAAAATATCCTTATTAATCAAGTATATTGACTAGAACTACTATTATTAGAAGGACTACCTTCAGAAAAAATACATAAATATGAGAGACAAAGCGGATTGAAATTTTATATTTAGAACCAAAATAAAAATCAAATAAGGTCTTATATTAAAGACCAGAGGTAGTATTAAATAGTCATTTGACTAATTTCAGTATATTAAAAAAATTAATTAAGTTAGTTCTTTATAATAAATAGGTGTTTTCTTTCCTAAAATATTTTTATTGATAATGTGTATTAGTTAGAATATTTAACATGTACAACTACTATAAAGACTATTTTAAAAAAATATAAACAAATATGAGAGTTTAGATCTTATATTTAGAATCAAATTAAAAGTGAAACTAACTATTATTATTAGAAAGTTAAAAACAAATTGTCTAGTAGCATTATTGTAAAATAAACAAATTGTCGGGATTCGTTTGCAATTTTTTTTTTTTTTTAAAAAGTGAGCAAGACCGTACGCCAAGCGAAGCTCGGGGAAGAGTTCAAAGAAGTGCAATTGAGGGCAAGCAAATGCTTCCACGTGTCAATCAATGGTTGGGTTCAGACGCGTAATTGCCGAACGGGAGAAGGTGTGTGGGGCCATTCTAGGCGTATCCCTTGTGTCCTGAAAACTGAAAAGTCAAACGGAATGGCTAGACCTTTTCATGATTTTGTGGAATCCTCACCGCACGTAATCATGTTAGGCGTTTCACCACCGTCAGATAGAGACCAGCCTGGCCTACGCGCCAGCGGATCCGATATGAATGTGACATGGTGGCCCCGCCTGCCCGGAGGCGGTTAAGCGATGGCCTGCCAGAAATGGTCTGCGCAAGCTGATTCTCTTCGGCTCACCTCCACTCGGCTTTAGGGCTTAAAGCGAGTTAAGTTCAAAGTTGCCCGGACATAACTTATAAAATATTCTCAGATACAAAGATGCTTTTTCCCCCCTATGTTCTGAATTCCTGTTGGGGTCATAATCAGTCTTGCTTTATACTAGTATTGTTTTGTTCAAAGAACTCTAAATCTTCAGGCCAAAAAACACTCTAAATCTAAATAATCGTTTGCTCCTAAATATAAGACACATTTTATAATGTAATTTACACTATAAAATAGATTTTATATTTAGAATCAGAGTAGTGTTAAATTTGCGTTGTCATTACTGAATAGACTTGTTTCCCAAATCACTTCAGCACGGGTCACCTTTGATTATCTTTCAAACCAATTTTTATATTTGGTAAAATTACAATACACGGTTAGATTTTATACTATATGTAATTCTTAATATGAAATCTAGACTAATTTGAGGATATTAAAAAAATTATTAAATTATTTAATTGTAACATATGTTATATCATCTCATTAAAATACTTATGTGTAGTATTAGATTGTATATCAATTTATAAGTGAGACAATTAATTTGGAAAAAAAAATATAAATACTACCTCCGGTTCTAATTATAAAACCCTATAGATAATAAATATAAATACTATCTTCGGTTCTAATTATAAGAGTTTTTTTATAGTCTACAAATAAGGTCCTGTAATTAGAGTCGGAGGCAGTACTTTAAAGTAATTTAGTAATTTTCTTAATATCTTCAAATTAACTAATTGGGTGTTATATTAAGAAAAATAGTTTTTTTTTTTAGTCTGACAATTATATCTAAATTTTTTCGTGTCCAGATTCAAATCATTTCATGTTGAATGGCTGAGTTGATAATTTTTTGTATTACCGCCTGGTAGGTATTAATTGATTCGAATTAGGTCGAGTCGATTCATGCATGTGTGGAACTTTTTGTTGTCTTGTCAAGTTTCTCTATGCACAAGACTTTAATTCGAAAACGTGGGAAATGGAAACACAGGATGTGACCATAAAATATTCTTATTAATTAATTCCAGAGGCTTGAAATCTCTAGCACGGTAAACCATTGTAAAGATTCAACATGACGAGTACCTTTTTTTTTTTTCCGTGAGAATTTTGATTGGTTGAACCATAAGTCGATAGACAAGTACCAGCGGAAATTAGGTTTAATAGTATGAGATTAATTCAACAAAACGTGTATGTAAGTTATAACTATTATTTGATTACACACTTAACATGTACAACTATTATTGGAAAAAATAGATAAGTATGAGAGATAAAATTGAAATCTTATATTTATAATCAAATTAAATATTAAACTAATTCTTATATTAAAGACATCAGGTAACAATTAATTTTTTAAAAAACTAATTGAATTGACTTGAATGCCTCAAGTGACATTTATTATAATTATAACTAATTTATCTGGCTTTTTTAATCTACATAAATTAATTAAGTACTTATCTGGTCTACTACGAGATAGATCTTATATTTATTA